ATAAAATAAGGAAGACCACAATCATTTTCGTTGTTTAAAACTTCAACCGTCATCAACACTCATCATTTTCTAACTAACAACTGTCCAAGAACTTGTTTGCTGAAATTGTAATTAATAAAGACACGAGTGATGTACGAACGGACATTAAGTGGAAAGGCTGCTACTGCTGCTGCCATCTACATCATTTTAAACAACCACTTCGCAGCTGACGTTAATAGCTTAATGTTTGATCAACCGTCATTAAAACAGCGTCTAAAACAGATGCTAGAAATACCGTATATTTTCCCCAGTCTGTCAATAAACAAAAAAGTAGTTAATACAGTAAATTTTCGATTCAATGCCTCAACAAAAAAATTCAGACCTAAATCTTGGACTAAATTTTAGCCGATTAGCCTGCCGGCAAATAAACTGTGAATAATGACCGGGTACAAGTACATACATTGTACATTTTGGGCGGATTGCTATTAAAACATTTAAAAGATTTATTACTGGTTTATAAAACACACGTATTTTATTTATGGATTATTTAAAGCAGTTCAGACTATGCAGTGTCGAATTATAGGATGCTAAATGAATAAAGAGTTGGGGGGAAAATACGGAACGAATCGGTCATGACTTCATTCGAGGTATTACCGAGACACCTGCCTGAACAGACTGAAGAAATAAACAAGAAAAGAAATCAGTCGGGTTAGGTTAGGTTTCCGGGCCGAGATTTGAGAGTTTATATGACGTGATTTATCAAGTGTGGGATGAATGATAAGATAATTATGAAATGGAGAGGAACTGGAAGGAGATGATACGTAATGGATAATATTAGGTGCCAACTTTGCGGTCTTCAGAATGACAGCGTGGAGAGTATTTAAGACACTTTAGCACTGTGATGCCGGAGCGGACAGACATTTTGATGATAGAGCGGGCAAAAGGTCGGCCACGTTTAGCAAACAGACGCAAGGGCGTGGCCCGTCTAATAGTATTTGTAGTGGAACAGAATACTCCGATCAGACAGCTTCTCCCTCTGCGTCACTCACATACCCTAATCCACCTA